CTTRTAATATAATTTTTCATAGACAGTCCWTTGACGTTGAAAGTATGTAATAAATGCGCAGCTTTTTTGATCAAATTCGGCAATCAATTACAGACAGTCATTTCCCAYAAAGCAATTCTTAGTAGAACTTCCGATTTAATTCAAGTAGATATTCAGCTCCATTTTACTCCTTTGTTTAGTTAAAAAGTCGCATTTTAAATACGATAAGCAAAGTCTGTACCATWTTATAATAAAAGAAGATACGAATGGCGCCATATTGTAAGAAAAACTGCAGGATTAATGTGAATTATATGACGTAATAATACTGAGAAGAGTATTATAAAGTTCTTTACTTAAAATAATTTGCATTTTTAAACAAACACTCCGTTCCTTTTAAAGTAAAATATTTTGCCCAGTCACTTAAACTTGGAAAGAGTCGGGTATTACGTAGATATGTCTCTATTTAAAGGATAATTTGACCAACGCTATAAAACTGCATACAAACTGTATATGAAAGACAGGGTGGCCCAGATAGAAATAAAGACGAGCTGAGTAAAGATCAAGGCAGTGCCATTTCACAAAATTAACTTTAGCCTTATTGAATTCGACCGTTGAAAATTTTTTTGATTTTATTAAATATTTGCCTTCAATCAAATATTCCTTCAAGCTGAAAGAATTTTTCAGTTTTTCAAAATCTCGCTCCGAAGTAAAATCACCGTTTGGACTTTTTAGAGCATTGTAGTAATACTTTTATGTATCGAAAATAATCAGATTATTTAGCAAATCAAAAGAATTTGGAAACGAGACAGAAAGAACTGATTTGATTTTTCTTTAATCATTACCGTTTCGTAAAGTGAACCTTCTAATTCAGATTGATCTCAGTAATCGTGCCGAGAGAAAAATTAATAAAAGTATGAATAAATTGAAATATTTGAACAATATTATTAATTATTATTATAATATTAACTCAATAAAATCCCTTGCTTTGATATAAAACAACCATCTTTTTCCTTACCCACAGAACGCATGAAAGACATACCTTTCGTTATGGGCGTGGCGAGAAAATAGCATTATTTAGAAAAATGTACATCATTCTGATTTAATACGACACTTTAAGTAAAATGCTAATGAAAACGTCTTTATGAAATGTAGTTTCTAAAAGTGTAATATTTGTCAACATGGGCATAAACCTGACTTTTACGTAGATTTCCCGAAGTGTTTTGTTACGGTTTGTTAAAATGTCGAGAGTAAAAAGAACAGTGTAGTAATTTGCCATCAAATAAGCGAAGAAAAATTATTTCTTCAATCTGTCTCCGTGACTGAGCCTTTAAAGTATTGCCTAAATTTCAGGAGGTGATTTTTTCAATAATTTAATGATTTTCTTAAAATAAGTATATGTTTGGAAATGCGTCCTTTTCAATAAACAGCATTCAGAGAAAAAAAAAACAGGGTATTTTCGTAAAATACTTCATAATGTTTTTGTCGGTATTGCTGAAATTTAACAGTGATATTTACAGCCGTTAAGGTCTAATTTTGCCATAAAATGACTAAAATTATAAAGCCTCAAGCTATCAATTATTTTCCCTAGTCTTCCATTTATCTAAAACATAAACATCAATTCGTTCCATGTCCCTGTATGTGAAAACTTCCATACCATTCAGCAATTGAAATTACACGCGAATCTCATTTACCTCATGAATTTTTTCGCACAAATGAAACTGTTTTCGATACAACAAATAAACTGAGAAATAACGTTTCATTAAACTTTATTATTTAACACTCTGTATATTGAAAAAACATCATTTTCGGACTTTTACTCAAATAAACTCTTCTTGTTCCAATCAGCCAAAAATAACACCCAATCTCGCCTATAACACGCGAATACCGAAAAATTATTTGGATAATAGTGAAATAACAACCGGAACAATTTTGTTTATTTGTACTATAATCAACTGCTTTTGTTCCAATTAGGGACAAACGCTCAAGGGCTAAAATGTAGCATTAAATAAATCTAATTGTCCTCAGACAGTTGGAAAGTTCAGTTGCACCTGGTGAATTATTTCTATTTACAAAGTTTTATGTGATTTTTAATAATTTATATATTCCCCTGCTACATTTCACGTCGAACAACATTACCTACAATTTACTTTAAAAGGGCGGACTTTTAGAAGCTTTGGACTAGAAATATTGACAAGATAAATGCGACTATGTATATCGTCAGAAAATCACACTAATGGAAGATAAATGATCGTATGTCACGGCTTTATGAATTGCCATTTTTTAAAGCTCGGCTTTTAAAAAGTTGATGGTAATAAATATCTGGAACGTTTTGTGTTCCCGACCGTGTTTTCACCGGGTTCTGTTAAGGAGTAAGTAAAATAGTTTACTGGAACTCAATGATGGCAGTGAAAAGCTTAAATTAGCTCAAACGCAACTACAGTTTTGGGTAGTGTAATAATTATTATGTGTGACCGACAACCTCGTAACTTTCCAGATCTGCTTGCACACAATGCCGGGAAGGCTTTTATGTGGACCGAGCTACGAATGTTGGGGAGCTTTTATGACTAGATACAACACCGAAACGGATGTTTGCTCTATTTCAAAAGCCTATAAAGAGGAGTTCTCGGGAAATATGTGGATTTCTCCCTGCACATGTGTGGTTCAAGCGAGGCTCGTTACCTGATATTCACAGTGAATGAGAACATTTTTTTATCAAGTGCAAATGGAACTATGCCTGAGTTTGCTACTTAAAACGAGAATTAATGATTCGTCTACCTACTCTACATTTCATATAGTGAAAACATAAATGAAACAAAACGTGCTTTTTTCACTGCGAATTTTTATCACTTTTGTTCTAAATTTTTTAGACGGTTGTAAGTTGCTGCAAGTTTGCTTCCAGTAAGTGGAACGACGGGACGCTTTCAAATTAACACACTGTAGGTATACACCAAAATGAAATTCACAGAGCCGGAGGTAGCAGAAATCGAATTGAACACCACATTGTTTAAGAGAACTTCAGCAGGTCACCAAACACATACATTATTTTTAACAGAATATTTTTATAAAAACATGCCCAAGAAAAGTCTTAATTTAGGTTCGGGTACTTTTTTTATATTAGAAATTATCTAAATGCTAGCCAAATTTTACAATTTTTTAAACGGAACACACAAAATATATTAGCTGACCCACACCAACTTCTAGCCCTCGAAGTTCTGTCTGAATTATTTAAAATATTTCGACCAACATACTCCAAATTGTGCAAAATTTGTGCAAAAAACTCCAATGTATGCATTATGCACTACTTGAAAAAATTTGAATGTGTTGAAGTCGTTTGTTAAACTTCTCCGTATCTCAAAGTTAAGCAACCAAAGTATTTCCTGAAAGTTTTGAATACTCTGTGGAATGGCTTTTAACGGAGTTGTTTCCTTCATTATCAAATTTAAAAAGAGATTTATTAAGCTGAATAATATTCCCTACGTCGCACACTATTTGACTGAAAGCCTTCAAGACTTTGACTGAAATTCTATCAAGAGAAAAAGTATAATAAAAACACCAAAAAGTAATAGAAACATAGAAAAATATTTACAATAATTTCAAAAAAGTTAAGGCTATTAACCGTGTCTGAGAAATTAAAACTGTGAAAAATAATTGTGCGAGATGGTTCAAAATGTTCTAAGATGCTTCAAAAATGTAGATTTCCTGGAAGCTTCAATACAAAAATGTAATATTAATTTTTTGCTTTGTTCAAGTTTTGATCTTATACGTAGGCAGGCGCTAGTAAAATATTAATTGAAAATGATAATTGCAGAATAATAATATTAACATGGACATAGAAGTTACCTCTTACTTTTTAAAACCGTTTTTAATATGGGCAATACGTAAAAATTGTGACAAAAATAAGATGAAATGTTCCGAAATGAAAAATATCCGCTAGAAAGATACATATTCTAGTACTTCGGACGACTTTAAATTTACTAGTCAAAAGTACTAATCAGAAAACATATTTAAGTTGAAGGAATAAACAAAAGCAAAAATTGAACTAAATTGCAAATTATTGCATAATAATCAGTAAAAAAGTTGCAACTCTACATCATTGTAGGTACACATATATTTTTAAATTGAATACTTAGATCTCGTTATTCATTAGCTCTAATGAGAAACTTTCATTGAACAAAACTGCAGACAAACTGGTAGATTAGCAGAAGTAAAAAACAAAACAGCAACCGAAATAGAAAAGAAGACCCTAAATAAATTATAAACAACGTAAAAGAAGATTGCAGCGGTTTTGATTGAATTTAAAGAAATTAATTAATCGCAGACATATTAATTCTATATAATTTTAAAGACACCAATACCATTTTCGAGTTTTCTTACACTTAATATAAAGGTTTAACGACCCTTTACAAAATATGAGACTTTAGCGCCATAATAACCAGGGAAAAAAGTAAGTATATTACATGTACCAATATCCTGTATCACTCCTCGATTTTTAAATTAACATAAATACTGCTTATACCAGATGAATACCAAGACGAATGAAAAAATTCCCGGCAAATTGGAATATATTAAATCTCAGTTCTCTGCGTTCTCTACTTCTCATAAAATTTCGCTCCATAAAGTAAACCTAATTATTTAAAAAATGGGTATCGCACGCTGCTTAACCAGAATACGAAATTTAATAACTTGGCCCTATATTCCGGTATAATTTTGGACTCATAAAAATTTAAATAAATTTATATAAATATAAGACCCGGCTAGGAAGAGAGTTTATTTGAACCATTTAGGCCATCGTACCTTTTTAGGTTTATTTGAATTTAGTACAGCTTTATCTTTTCACGTTTGCTTATTAATTACTCGGATATGGGAGTACATTTTATGGCTACATAAACAGAATCAATTTAGCACTTTTCCTGAAAACTTTACTTCAATTATATATTGCTTATAACTTTGAATGGCATTTAAATAAATTAAAGTATAAGCAGCTTCCTTACATTACGTAAAAAGAAAATTATATTACTCACCAAAATCATCATGTCACCTTGAATAGCAGCACCACTTACCTGGAAAGACAATATTGTAATTTTTATTTATTTATTACAGAAATGGATAAAAACTTAAATTTTAATTTGTATTGTGTGTGTAAAATCGTGTGCGTAAATGGTCAAATATTGCGACTTTAACAAAAATTATCAAATTATGAAACGACATAACAAAACGAACGATCAAGTCAAGAAACTAGAGACTAAAGCCTGAAGTAGAAATAATGCCCAATTAATGTATGGAAAAACGAAACAACTTGTATGGGAGAGCATACAAAAAAAATGTAAGTATTTCGATATATCTCTCCAAGGTGCCGATTCATCGCGAAATCATCAATAGCTGCGTTTTCGAAAAAGACAAAATAAACCGAATGAAACACTTTTGATCGAAAACGCATTAATAATTTAATAAAAGTGAACCGTCTGAAAAGCTCAGCCAGAAAAACACACATTAGGGCCTGAAAAGGGAGAACCGTTTCGTCGACGATCTAGTAAATAGCATCGTTAATTTCCCGTTGCAGTGAGGGTGCGATGACTGATAATCGATTATTTAAATTACATTTTTTACTCACGATCTTATGGGATGAGGTGTCAGAATCCAACAGCCAATTTTGCATAATTTTTTACTCTATTTTTGATAAATCCCGTCGAACATTGTACATTAATAGAAGCTAATGGAGTGTACGGATATTATCAACTGCAGAATTGAATTTAATCTACATATTTCAGTCATCTAAGATAAAATATTTTACTGCTTTTAAGTACATTTATACATCAATAATTTATTTGCGAATTATCTCATTACCCATCATTTGCAAGTATGATTGAACTATGCGTTAAAGAAATATAATTGATTGCTAATGATTAAAATATTTTCTTCGTTTTTGCTCCAATAATTTTTGCAACTTGACATTTTGAAGTGAGTTTTCTAGGCTTTTAAGCGGTCGTGGAACATGATTTGCTGGAAAATGTGGGAGAAATTCTTTTCCATGTCAGCCTAAAAGCCGCAAAAAACTCACCATTTTAAGTAATGGCTGCGAAATCCAAAGTCTTTTGAAGGAATTTTTTTTATCTCAATGATACACATACGATATGGAAAGTTCTTCTATGCCCATGATTATGCATTGCCACGTTTTTCCAGTATTGAAATAGTAAATTTCATATTTAATTTATTTATTATTTCATTGCTAAATTTTCAATAATTTATTCAATCCTTAATAAATTACATAATTGCTTTGAAAAAATATGATGAATGAGCTATACTCTGGTTCCTGTTATAATCACCTCTATATGGTTTAGTGATAGTTGTTTCGGTTGGTTTTTTTGGTAAATTTATAATTATAAAATTAGCTTTTATCTTGACAATGGAAAATTGTACAACCGCGGTTAATAAGTAAAATGTTCCACAGTCACTTGTTTAATGCTCATCAAGTTCAAATTAATGAAAAATAATTTTAACCAAATGTCATATTAAATATTTTTTCTGTATATCAGTTTCTACCCCCAAAGCACGCAAATAAACTGATTTTGCATCAAAATTCCCAGTTCACAGTCGAATTATGTTTTTTTTTACAGAGCTAAAGTTAATATCAACTTGCAGACATTGTTGCGAAAAAATAGGTTTCGTCCAAAGTACAAAATCGATATTCCCTTGCTTCTGCATTTTAGGCATTAGCAAGCTATTCCTCAACTTTGTTTCAAGTTAGAAGGGCAATCTCCTGTTTATTATCGTTTTTATAAGTGCAATTTGCGACTCTGTCTGAGCCTTTTCTCAATTAATCGTCGGCGAAAGTTTCCACACCTGTGTATTCTCCTTTAAAATATGTAGCAACTTCTTCTCACTAACAACATTGTGAATTCTCATTAACATGCGGCGACGCCGGCTGCTCATACATTTTTTAAACCAGCTATTATTATTTATATGACTTCTGGGTAAAATGTTATATGCACTTAATATAAATTGATAAATATTTTTCGCCAATAATAAATGACCGTTGCTCCTTTGTTTCATTGCCAGGGGGATTTTTTTGTGAATGAAACTTACAGATATAATTTTTTCAGTACTTCAGTAGAAAAATCAGCAATTTGACAGAAAGAGAAAAGAAAGACTGCATTTCAGAGAATTATTTGATTACATTACACGGCTTCTAAATTTTTTTATTCAATGTTTTAGCCCCTTGTTTTAGTACGATGTCGTGAGTTTCGATATCTAAGCTTTTCAGTTTTAATGAGTCTAATGGTTATTTTCGAGCTATTTCTTGTTTTGGTGATTTCTTTGTAAAAATTAATATTGAGCTTTCAATTTTGTTAGTCACCATACAGTAAAAAACTGTTTATTACCCTGTATGTTCAGATAATTTGTAACTAGCAAACTTTAGTAATTGACTGCATTTAAAAATGCATATTAAAACAATTTAAATCTTTTATGGAATAATTCGAGCATTACTTTCGAACCCGATATATAAATTTGTAATAGGTAAAAATATACTAAAAACGATCTATTGTTCCGCCATATTCCCTACACAATACCTGGCGAATTCCGAGCAACAAAAAAATAAAGGAAAGATTTTAAAATTTCATTAGGCCTTTTGTTCTTTTTGCCTCTCGTAGCCCTCACGTCACATATTCCGACGCAATCTCCTCTATTATTTCTCGCTCTTCGTCTCTTGCTACTACTGCTCTCGTTAAATTATCTCATTCTCTCATACATCCTCCTCGGGTAACGTTCCGGTAATGACGAAAATAAAAGAAAACGGAAAGGGAAAAAATGTTCAACCGGTGCTCGGAACACCCTTCCGATCGCGAAGTAGACGTGCATGGCTACTTTTTAAAGCCCCATTGTCGATAAATTGCCTCTAAGAGAGGCGTTTGTTGCTTAATTCTTTTTGACGTGGGTATTCCTTAGCTTGGCTTCAGTCATACAATTTGTTTTACCATTTCAGATTTAATCATTTGTCTGCTTAACTTCATTATCGAAATTATGAAAACAACGGATTTTGCTGTTTTTATTTTGCTTATCTCGATTTATCCAAGAAGGACTGATGACCCAAGTGAATGGAATTTGCAGAAAAGAATATATTTATATTTAATAAACATAAATCTTCTGAGAAAAGTGGACGTACAGGTGCCGAATGCCGAAGGATTCGCTTAAATTGTCCCTGTTTTCACTTAGAAGTTTAAAACTAGATTTTCAACTATCTATTCGTATTCGCTATCTTGTTTAAATCCGCATTAACGGTCAAGTGTCTTCTATAAATGGACAAAGAGACGAGTCTCTTCCCACTCTAGTTTCGTGAGGATATTTTGAAAGCTAGTGCTTTAGAGCTCTATTTAGTGTCCTTTAAATCCTTAAATCAAAAATTGCATTTTAGAGTAGAAAAACCGTACTGCCGTGGGATTTGCTTGAAACGTTGGAGGAAAAAAATGTACAGATAAGCAGGTTGTACGTTTGTTAATTCCAGGCAAATATGGTTGTGGATGAATTAATTGCAAATTTCGTAGGGCTCACACAATCTACAAAAGGGCAATAAGACAAGCGTCTACCTGCTCTAGTTTCGCTCTTAGAAATACTTTTTTCTAAGAGTTGTAGCTGTATCACATGAGTTTGTTGCTTTTCGAAAAACGTAAGAAACCGGCCTCTACCTGCTTTAGTTTGAGAATGAAGATTTTCGGAAAGCTGATTTAAAAGATATCTTTAATTAGGTTCCTAGTTTAATTTGTAAAAGATCTCTCGATGATCTAATTATGAAATGTTACACATAATTAAATCTGGAGGACTTGCTCAGGTCTCTACCTGTTGTATGTTGTGGATAATGAATTATCCTGCTTAACAGTTTTACTTAGTATCGTACAAATTTTGCTAAATTACTAAAAGCTTCAAGTGACAAATTGACCAAGAAACAAGCCTCTATCTGATATTGTTTGAAAATAAAACATTTTTATAGCCATTTAGAATTGGAGCTTGTGATAGGATCACATAAAATGTTGCTAAATTAATAATATTTTCTTGTGTTTTACTAAAATTTGCCGGACTTGTACAATCCAGTAGCTTCTACAATTGAACTTCCATAATTGAGAGTTTCAGTTAGAATCGAATGAAATTCGCTAAAAAACTGTTCTGTTGTATGATATATTTGAAATCTTTCTAGCTTTTAAGGGCGAAATGTATTCTACAAATAGACCTAGAAACAACAACTTCAACGAATAGAACACGTATCGTTTACTTGTTCGTGTTTGGGCAAATAAAAATAGTGATCACCAGACTGTTTGAGAGTTTCAGTTAATATCAGATAAAAGTTTAGGGAAAAATATCATAAAAATTCAATTGTTTGATTTCTTAGAAATTCAAGTCTTTCCAACTACAACTTTTTCTCAAATTTACAAACGGGTAAAATAAAACGGTCAAATTTAATTTTCAATTTTTTGAGAGCCTAACCATGCCAACATTAACATTGTTATATTTTATAAAATTAGTATCAGCTTTTTCTATATTATTTACACGAATACATTTACCAGCTGAAAGGAAATTAAATCGAGGGAATCAACTGGTTTAGATATAGTTGATTAGACCTACTAAGAAATGACATTTCGAAAACCAAGGAAGAATAGAAGAAGTGTGCGATATATTACCAAACATTTCCTTATTAGTGCAGACTTCCGATTTTAATTTTATGAAATCTTATATATAAAATATTGCACTAAAAAATACGCAGAAAATAAATTGGCCTTAATCGTATTTCTTAATTACAGAATCTTATTGGAATAAGAATTTAGATGACTAAGCCTCAATTTCTGTTATAATGTGTCGGTAATTTCCTATATTCGTTCAACAAACCGCTTATTGACAGTTATTGAATTTATATAGAGATGTGAAATTTCGGAGCCTGACCGCATGCGGAATTAGTAATCCCCTTTCCCAAACAAATTTGCTAGAATATTACGTATTTTAATCGAATTTGGATATAAGCCGCTTATTTGAGAGGTCAGTTTTTCATAGTAAGACAATCTAAAACACAGACAGGCTTGTTTCAACAGACAAGTGGACATCGCTAGTTTTGTAAAGGAAAAAACTTCGATCTTAATTGCTTACAAGATGTACAATAAAAGTTGCAGCTCGAAATGTATCTTTATAATTTCATTCCATTGTATGAGCAACATATTTTTTGTTACAATAGGAGTTTTCTTTTGATGTATAACTAAACTATTAGTTGTTTGCTGTAGTTTTAGTAACAATATGTAACTTTAAAAACCTTAATTACATTTGACTGTCTCTTAAAAGCATTGACTTGCAGCTTTGCTTGAGAATTAGTTCTTAATTCACCAATCTATTCCTCTTTTCGGAAATTATGTCTTAATTTGCAGTTTGCAAATGAAATGGACGTTAAAAAAAGAAGGATTTTGTGAGTAGATGGACTTATTAAATAACATCACATCAGCTCTAAACAGTCACACGCATGCTGGAAAAATGCGATTGTCTTTCATCAAAACATGGCCAAAGATGATTATTTTCAGTTGGAAGTATCTAATCTTTATTGATCTGACAGAATCTAGAACTGGAGAGAATTCGCAAATATTTACTACAAAATATCAAAATTTCAATTACAATCAAGCTTAAATTTTCGAATTAAAACCAAGGTTTGTTTCGTTTTTCTGCTCGTATCCAACAATTCAAGACTGAATAAATTTTAGACTGTTTTTTTTACAGTTAAAACCAGACAAATTCGTGATAAAAACGCTAGAATTAATAACAAACTTGATGGATTTGTGAGTGAAAAGCTCATAAATTTAAAAATGTAAGTTTTTAAAATGACCTTCCTGGTTTTTAAGATAAATATTAAATAAATACAATTTGTAAATGTAATTTCTTTCATGAAACATTATTTAAAATATTAACGAATATATGCATATATATTCTAATAAATAGAAAAACTATTTAGGTAATTTATGCAAGTTAAGCAAAGGGTTCGGCATGATTCGTTTGCCTTTGACTTAAAAATGAAACTTTCACTTATTTTACATTAATATTCAGCTGAATAAAATACGAATAGAAATAAATGTTACGGAGGCCTTCAGAATCGTGATTCACTCACTTTAGTAGATAAATGAAAATGCCCACTTTGTTAACGACCGCCTTTGAGGGAGTGCGGTGTACCTACTAGTGGAATTGATCGAGTCGCCATATAATAATGGTTCTTCGTTTACAATTTAAAAAAGCTCTGTTTCAAACCGGGACGGGTATATAATAAACTTCATGATAAATGATGTATTGTTGAGAAATAAATGAAATTCGTGTGATTGTTTTCTATTTGAGCATTCAAGTCGATGAAGAAAATTATTTAACATAGGTACTCATAAAAGAAATTCTTTGACATCTTTTTAGAGCTGCATTTTATCCATGGATGATTAATTACTCTCATAGAATTCACAATTCATACATAAAGAGACAAAATAATAAATCAAGTGCCAACATACTGCCAATTTAAATAATTCCAAAACTTCCAGAAATTACAGAAAAAAATCTATTTATCAAACCCCACAAGTATTTTATGAACGTGGTTACTTTGCCGTATTTGTAAAAAATCCGTTTTCGCTGCAACAAAAACTTCAAACCACCAAAAAACAAAACCAATATCTAATCAAAAGGCCCATGACTGTCGAATTATACAGCAAAAAGAAAACTATTTCTGGAGTTTTAAATTCGAACAGTAAACAGAACCGAAAGCGTGCACGGCCAAAAAGTGACAAAAACCTAATTGTTTTTAGTTGAAACTAAAAATAGAGATATCCGAAACAAAGTCTACTCGACAAAAGCTTTTAACGTTTACGGTTCGGGTGACAAAACTTTGTTCGACGTACATTTCCTCAACATAACGATATTCATTTTAGTTTCTAGTTTTATCGCGTGACTTTGTTTACCGACATGAACGCTGTTTATATGGAAAAAATGGAAAGTTTTCACGCAAATACATATGCGATTTTTTTCATCATTGTTCCATTTCAAGCTAGCATGTAAATATAATATTTCATTTCAAGATAGCATGGAAATCGTATAAAATTTAGCGTTATTAACCGTAATTCCAAGAGCAACTTTTATTTTCTGATCAATTTAAGTCATTAACGGCGTTCATATGACCTCCAACCAACCAGAATACATACACAGGGTGTCAAAATTAAATCCCAAGTTCCTATCAAAAATTTGCTAGCGATCTTCCTTACCAAGATACAGGCCTCTGAAACACGCCGTTAAAAATCGGCTAAAATGTCCATGTGCATGCAATGGGTATCGACAAAATGAACCGTTTTCAATAGAACACTTTTTCGGAATTGAAATAAAGAATTAACAATAAACTTTCATGGTTGAAATTAAATTTTTCCGGAGAACGGTTCATTTTAACAATGTCAAAGCCTTTTTTTGTAAAATTTTTAAGGTATCTGAAAATAGTTTTGTTGTGCTTGGATCATAAAAGCCGTTGAAAATATGAGCATTCATGGCAGCAATCTGGGTGGACCTGTCGAACTCAGACTACTACAGAAACTATTTTAAGGGGCATTAAATAGTATCAATTGTATTAAACAATTATTAAATTATACTGAGCAATTTAGAATTTATTTAATAAAAACAATTTTTCTTGCCCGATGGGGGGCTTGCAGGAAACTTATTTACAGAAACTTTGTACATGAATCCGGTAGCATGACCACATTTTTCCAGACACTAAACAGAAGTTATTGAAGCAAATATAATTTTAAGTTTTTTTCAAAAAAATTTCACATTAAGAAAAAAAAAGGTGTGAGCGGTATAGGTAACATAGGTAAACAAAGCTATAAAAAAATGTAAATGTAAATAATATTCATTCATTCAATTTACTGTAAAAAAGCTTGTGCTACATTTAAGTATTTCCAGACAAAAACTTTTTTAACAACTGTTATGTTCTGGATAAATTGATGTATATTAAGTCTGAGTTGCTTACATATTTTGCTTAATAAAATTCTTACAAAAAAACATCGACAATACTTTCTTAAGCAATAGTTTTCACCTTCATATAAAAAAAACAACGACATTAACTGCAAAACTACGTCAAACGCGGATCAAACAACAAATATTCCAAGTATTCTAAAATCCACCCTTATAATCATAACTGCGGAACATACGGAAATCAACTTCTCAGCGCGTATTCAAAGCTTTGTCGAAAATTATTTTAATGAAATAACTTTATAGGAAAGGGTGAGCCCAAGCAGCTCATGTAAAGCTTAACATATCATTTTCACGTGTCTGAAAAGTTCCGTTTCGCGTTTTTTGTGTTTTAAACTTTCGTGCTGACAACTTTACAATAAAAAACGCCTTCTTTTGATATTCAAATCCCATTTGAGGTTTCATGTTCATTCACGTCAAATATAGAGGAAATTCTGATTGGTATAAATATAAAACATTGTTAGTCAGAACGTTTTGAATACTCACCGCATTTGAATGAGTTTGATCAGTCTTCAATTCTTTGTGATTTGAATACTGCACGTATACTGATCTGCCTCGCAGCTGAGCTACAGAGCCACCGAAATACGAAACCTATAAATAAAAAAAAGTGATTTATCATTTCCGCCCTGCATTTTCACGCTCTAAAGTGTGCTCACCATGCTTGTAGCTGCAGCTTCATCTCCCATCTCCAAAAACGCTTGGTTCTTTCCTTTCAGTACAAGAACATTTGTAACTCTACCAAATGGTAGGCCCAAGTGAATGATTTCAGCTTCGCTGACATCGGATGGGATGTTTCGGATATGAATCACTCTGGATGGCTTGCCTACATTTTGCTCTAGCTTTACCTGGAAGTAAAACATGCTATCGTCAAGAAACAGTAAAATAATAGATATATTTTTAAATTAAAACTAAACTTTCGTTTTCCTGAATCATGTCAATCAAATAAAAGCAGCTCGAGTTTTGACTCTAAGAAAACCACAGGTACAAACCGTCTGATAACTAAATCTACCAATTCAAACCCTTAAAATTCAGAAAAATGTGCTGGTTTAAATATGAAATCAATTTAATTGATTTTAGCTGTTCTCTATTTGAACGCTGATTTATGTATTTCCTTTATGCAAAAATATATGTATGAAAAATACCGAAACAAAAACTAGCACAAGAAACAATTCTTTTTAAGGTGACTTAAGTAGTCAATTTTCGAAAACAACAATGACCACAAATGATGTTTACTGCCTAGAACATTTAGAAAAAATCTCCAACAGACAAGCAAATAATGTTAGAGTTGTTGGTTACGAACCAGCGTAAAAAATAGAGAAGATTAAACCATAATCGACTTGTAAAAGGATTAACATAAAGAAAACGACAAGGACAGTTTTTGCATTAAAATTAGGGTTTAATAGCCTAATAGTAGCGAAATATACAAAAACTATTCCATTTTAATGATCCAATATTAGTCAGAAAAGCATCAAATTATTATTTTAAAAAGCTCATAAAAATGTGATACGATATGAATTGATGATAAGAAAAATTACCATTTTTGTCCAATTTGAATATCGAACAATAGAATTACAGCAATGTGACAGAAATACCCTTATTTTATTTAACAACAAATTTATTGCACCAATTTGCACGAAATTAACTGAGACTGGTAAAGGCTAAAGGACTAGACTTAATTAACTGTTAGTTGACAAATAGAAAATGTGAACGACATTTGAAAACGAACTCATTATTTTTAGTGAAAAAACTAAAATCAACCGGTATTTAATCATGAAAATCATGAAAAATATCACTGGAATTTCAAATATCTATGTGAAACTAAAACAGGTTTGCAAATCTGCTGCTTTGTATTTCGTTTAGGATTTGGCTTAGGTTTGGTTTGGATTATATTTGGAAATCTCAAGAAACTAGTTAATGAGTATATTTAAACTTATAAAAAATATTAATTCGGAACAGGGAAGAAGAAAATAATTTATTTTTCTCAAAAATGTCTAAAACACTATTAAACAGGTAGTAGGTACCTGAGTAAAAACAGCTTCTTGAAACTTTATTTATTTACTATCCGAAGTATCATACTATTTGTAAATATAATATTTTTAAAATGCAAATAGTTAGAAGATGAAACTACGCGGCAATGTCAAGTAGTGAACTAAATTAAATATTTTAACTGATGCCAAATAATGCCTAATAAACAATGCATTGTTGCAAACAATATGAGTTTCCGCTCTTTAAATCGTTGTCCAATTGAACAAAGGTAGCATAATGGGACCGTCGAAAATTTAATACCTGGATTCATTTTCCGTTCGATTTAAACCCCAATCTATTTGGTTTGTAAAGCCATATCGAGTGCAAATCTATTATTATAGGATAAATAAAATGCTAATTAACATAACGACATGATATATAAATGGCATTTAACATTATTATGACTGAAAAGTCGAATGCTGCAACTAAATATAATATAGCGGCGAACTGGACGATTTTATAATATGCAATATTTCAAAATATAAAAATGTACTATGGCATGGGTATGCTGAAAATTGTCCATTTCAAATGATCTCTAGCGTGTAAAACTCAGGAAAATATCCAAAACGGCTGATTTATGGAAAATTGTATTAAGAAACATTTAAAAGTGTAAAAACTTCGCTTCAATGCACTTTCAAGAATATTTACACTTAAGTCAAAAGAATTAAGTTAGTGACACTATAGTGAAAAGAAAGAAAGTTAAATAAATCCATGATATTGATATTTTAAAGAAGCCAACAAAAAGCGATGCTACTTAATAAAATTTTATCAAACAATCCTTATATATATATATATAAATAATCTTTATTTCCTACAGAAAAAGGCTATCGACAATCCTTATATTATTTAGTACTTTAAAAAAGAGCAGAAATGGATAGCTGAAGTGATCAAATAAAATACAGTCGATTTATCAATGCTGCAATGTTTACAAATGATGCTAACTCTGTTTTTGTATAATATATTTTTTTAATTAAACATACATATATAGCGTGTCATGGAGGCAAGGATAAATTTATAAAATTAGTATTAAATATCCATTTAATTAAAATGGCAATTATTAATTTGCTTGATGAAAAACCAATATTCACCTAAACAATGGACATACCTTTTCAATTAATTATCATCAATGTATAAATGAAATTATATTGACACGCAGAAGCAAATTGCAGGTTTTTCGAGAACTGCTGCTTTATTTAAACATTAAAATAAAGGAAAAGCTGATTGTGGGCAAACGATAAACTTCAAATGCAAACAATATATGTTGAAATGTTTTATCGAATGCCAAATTTCAGGCTAAAATCTATTTTCGTTCTGTTTGCTTCATTAAAATTGCAGAAATAATATTAGATTTTTATCAACAACTTATCACATACAAATCATCAATTAAATCATTAATCTGGGTACAAGATATCGATTATTTGTTTTACAACAGCTTTTTATTTTGCTTTTATATTAATACATGCATTTACATTTTTTCGTAAATGAAATCAATAGATGGCTCTTAAATGTGAAAACGGATGGACAGCAAACCTTTTCGTATATAATTTGAATCGTGCAAAAGCACTTCTTAAGTATGTTAAAAGTAATAATTATGATTTAGAAAACCTCCAACACCGATGAACTTTGGCAAGTCACAAAACTCAACCGAAAACCACATAAAATATTTGAGGCAAAAATTGATAAAAATCCAAAGTTTACTAAACATGTCCACTAACTCGACTTGCTTGAATTCAAATTCACAGAAACTGTTCTTCTTATATCCACCCTAACTAGTAATTAGAGCATTTACAATTCGTGTTAAGATCGATTCGAATCGCATTTTTTAGCTTTAATTCTATTTGAATTAGCTGTCTAGTATCGCGTGTTGTACTTCCAGTCAAAAGTGCTACTTTCCAGAAAATTCTTTATTTTTCTCTTTTTTAATTTTGTTTTTACTGTCGAACACGTTTCTAGGTGTATGCTATTGATGACAGTTAATTAATTTTTCTACTTCCTTAAGCGTATCAAGAACTTCACACTAATTTCTACACGTCAAAACAAATTTAAATTTGCTGAAAAACAGTACAGCTGTATTTCCAAAGAAAGCAAAAAATATCAAAAACTAAAGCAACTAATTTATTGGTTGAAATCTAATAGCAAGTATTTTTCATTGTCTCACTATTCATATAAAGTAATATCCGAACAACTTCTGATAGTATAATCTAGTTCAGTAAACTGAAATTAGAAATTATATCGTGCTCAATTGAAAAATGAATAGTATTAATTAACCGCAAATTAATTGAAAGTTTTCAATGCTAGCGTGATGGAAAGCTCTCCGTTCCAAAGAGCTCCGGTAAAGCTTGCTATAAATATTCAGATATGGAGATGAGATGATATATTTATTGGATTTTAATTGATAACCAACTGTTGTCGGTGAGTAATGAAGAAAATATACAATCAAGGCTGAAACCGGGAACCTTAAGTTTCTCATTCTCACTCCACAGAAACGCAATTTAACGTATATATTTAAGGCAATATCAATTATAAATATAAACACAGTAGGTAATAAAGAAATTCCTCATAACAATTACGAAAATTAGCAATAAAATTATAAGTTACTAAGTAAGAAGGATGTACTTACGTGTTTGTGTGTATGTAGATTATGATATATACATTTGTAATTAAGCGCGTTCATTATTCTTTTGCATGAAATATTCACGAATGTGTACCTATATTACAAACAATGACCTTTTGAATTTTAGGTTTTAAAGAGCCAAATGAATTTCTACATTCTACAGCCCTTCTGGCTAACGAAAAATCGAAATAAAAGCGTAGAGTCACTTTTGACATGGACCTATAATAGACGTAGGACAAATGGAAAGTACAAAATTCAAGAAGGCAATTAAAGGTAGAGGAAATTAGACTTTCAAATTTTAAAAAGCTTAAAATTTGAAAAAATAACAAAAAACGGAGGAAAATCAAACAGCTCAGTTAAATAATAATAGTGCGTTATTTACAAGCAAAAATTCCTGAATATTTTTAATAAAGCGCATCTAATTTGACCAAAAAAAGCTTTCAAAAATACTTCATACATCAAATAGTAAATGTTTCAAATAACTTTAAAAAGTTCTGTTTTTGAATGGATGAATGAATTTGACATGATCTGATCCTATATTAAATTATCAAATTGTGTTTAGTAGATTTTTTTTTCAGCCAATCCTCTCTGTATTTGGTCCTTTAGCGCAAGTTTTTAAAATGGTCATATTTGCTTCCTTTCGCATCATCATCATTCGCATTTTTCTTTGATTGGAAAGCACTTTCTTACGAAAAAAACTTTTGAGAAAAGTACTAAAAGCACTTTTTTGAGAAACGTGAGCAAACCTGTGACACGTTATTTCTTCGAACGGTATTGTATGGTTCAAGTCATTATTCTAGACACGATTTTTTGTCTGCAAAGTTTATTATTTAACTTGAGTGAAAAATATACAGTTTACACGGTACTCATTATTAACTTGCTCCTTGTAATCGCGATAAACAAACTCTAAATAAAAACGAAACAATTCGGAAACCAATAAAAAGAATGACTACTGAATTAACTCTTTACCCGTGAAGACGAAAAAATATCAAATGGAAATACTTTGTTGAATATAATTTCATTCTTATTTTCCGCTGCTAAACTATTATCTTCATAACTCAATGAAATATGATTGCCATTTATTTTATAAGCGCCCAGTTTTCATTGGTTTGTATAACAGTAAAAAGTGGCTTTAAACCTCGACTTTCGCTACATTGCATACATACTTGTCCTGTACAGAACAAATTGATAATTTTAAAGGCATTT